AGCGTGGTTATATACCCAAAGAGAATTTCAGTGAGTTTATTTCAGAGAAATAAGTCTGTCTATTGAAAAAAAAAAACCTCATTTTTCCTTTGAAATTCATTGCCAGTGGGAGAAAGCTTCTTAGATGGATCATACCCACTTCCCCCTTGGCACTAGGACCCAACCTGGCTTGAACTTGTGCGGGTCTTACGCATGCTGCCATGGTCTCTGTGGGTTCAGATGTGCATTAGTCCTGCTGTGTCTGGAAGAAACTGTTTCCTTGGAGTCATCCATCCTCTCTGGCTCTTAACATCTTTCTGCTTTCTTCTTTGCATAGCTCCCTGAGCCCGGAGGGGTGGGGTTTGATGAAGACATCCAATTTAGGACTGCGTGTTCCACAGTCTCTCACTCTCTGCACAGTGTCCTGGTGTGGGCTTCTGTCTTAGTGCCCATGGACTGCAGGAGGAAGCTTCTCTGATGGCTGAGACCCACCTGAGTCCTGGTTCAGTGTGGCCCATGTTCTTTGCTACCAAGCCACTCTTTAATCCCTCAACTAAGGTTTTCTCTTTACATGCTGAAATTTCATTTCCAGCGTTTGTTTGTTCCTTTGCACAGATCTCTGTCTTGCTTGAATTACTGTTTTATAGTAATTCGTCTAGCTATTTGTATTCTCTTTGAAGTTGCTGATCATGAAAATAATTAATTCTTCTATTCTTGATCTGTCCTTTCATCTACTTTGATAGCTTTTGATCAGTTACAGTAAAGTTAAGAGCTTTTGGAGGGGTCATGTTACTTTTTTTTCATATTTCTTGTGTTTCCATGATGATATTTACAGATTTATTGTATTTGATGAATCCCTTCCACTTGCAGGTTTGTATAATGTTTTGAAGTTTAGGAAATGTCTTATTTTTTTAGGGTTCTATTACTGTGATAAAACATGCTGACCAGGCTGGGCGGTGGTGGCGCACGCCTTTAATCCCAGCACTTGGGAGGTAGAGGCAGGCAGATCTCTGTGAGTTCTAAGCTAACCAGGTCTACAAGAGCTAGTGTCAGGACAGGCTCCAAAGCTACAGAGAAACCGTGTCTCGAAAAACAAAAACAAACAAACAAACAAACAAAAAACCAAACCAAAACAAACAAACAAAAAACCAAACAACAACAACAAAAAAAAAACATGCTGACCAAAAGCAGCTAGGGTAGGAGAGGGTTTATTTCATCATACACTTCATTGAAAGAAATCAGGGCAGGAACTAAAGTCGAGATCGTGGGCTAACACTGCTTACCTGGTTCTTACTGCTGGCTTGCTCAGCTTGATATCTGATATATCCAAGGCCCAACTCCCCAGGGATGGTACCACCCACAATGGGCTGGGTAGGTCCTCCCACATCACTCAACAATCAAGAAAATGCTCTACAGACTTGCCTATAGGCTTATATGATGGAGGCATTTTCTCAATTGAGGTTCCCTTTCCCCAAATGACTCTAGATTGTGTCAGGTTATCATAAAAGTAGCCAACACAGTAGAGATAGACTCTAAGTGTGAAGTCTCACGGGAACTGTTGAGAAGAGCTGACCCGCTTTCTTTCTAGAGTCAAGAAGTGATAAACTACTCGGTTTGAGGAGAAGGATCTGGTAGTGGAAACTAGTGCTTTAGAAAAGAGAATCATTTTATCAGCTAGCTCCACTGAACTTGGTTACATACAGGGCTGCAGATTTCCGACGCTCACTCAGTGGTGGCTGTTTGTCCTCCACCTCTTTTACAGTATTGGACTCTTCGAGAATGCTTCTATACCAGGAATTTCCCATGCTTTTGCTTTCAGAACTTCATAATAAAAGGAATCTTTGTGTGGATTGTTACATACTGATATTTACAGTATCAGAAATTGAAGTGGAAATTTCTATACTCGTTAATTTTAAGATAGCAGTATGATATCCATTATATGATAGCAAAATATATTTTCAATGAAAAGTCTGTGAGAAGAGTGGTATTTATTTGTTTTACAGATCTCTGGAATGTCTTTTCGCATTCTGCTATCTATGTCTACATTCGATCTTTCATGCTTTGTTATTTCCACTCACACATACATAAACAGTTTGGCATGAAACAGATATACTATAGAAAAAGCACGTCTTTTTAGATAATTATATTATGAACCTTGTACCAAAATTTTAGCATATCGGTGAACTTGTCCTGTTCAGTTAATCCAAATGCATCGACATGTTCTGTGCTCTGAAAATGAGAGAAAGAAAAGATTCTGGTAAGTTATTTCTACTCTGGTAAAATTCCCCACGGTGGTGTTTTCAAACACAAGCAAAAACAAAACACAACATATAAGGCAGGAGTGGAGGCTAAAACTAGGATCTCAGCTCCTGGGTAGCCTCGACTACATAGGACAATTATGTCTAAGAAAATAAGCAAGCAAGCAAGCCAACAAAGAAACTGGCATTCATTTACTATCCCTGAAGCAATAACTATTGCCTTCATAAACTAGAAACCCAAGACCAGTAACCTTTTTTTCCCCTTTGGAATGAAACCTCAGTTCTTCTTTTCTGGCAGAAAAGCCTGGTTATGGTAAGTAAATTCCAATAGTTCACAGCCTTCGTGCTCACCTGGGTCACATAAAAAGTGCCAGATTCTGTTTAATCAGGTTAAGACTTAAGATATATTGAATAATCGCGAATGCCTCGCAGAGGATTAGAATCACCCCGAGACAGGCTGGTATAGCGAAAACCTTGCAGGTTTGAAGCTGGGCAGTGCAAACTTCCTGCGTGGTGCCGACCTTTCTGCAAATGCAGGGTCAGCTCAGAACAGTGGTTCTCACTTTGAACTGGAGGCAGAATTCTTGGGAGTGTTGATGTCTACAGGCTCTGGGGCTCTCAAGGGACCCCAAAGGAAACTAGACTGGAAACATCCTGTGTTAGACTGCATTTCAGTTCTCACCCTGGTCTAAGAGAAGCTGTTTGTAATGACATAACCGACTTTTATTTCACGTAATACTTACTTAACTATTAAGTTATTCACTCAAAGATAGTTACGTCAAGATAGAAAAACATGCTTCTATTGTTATAAGGCTACTTAATTTAACAATCAAACAAACAAAACAAGAACTCTTCAAGCAAATAAATATGCTTCCCCATAAGTCCAAGCATACAGGATACATGAAATCCTGTAGGCAAATGTTGAAAATTACATCTGTGAGCAAAAGGCATTAAGTTTCCAAGTGACTGTAGCATAGAATTTCAAACAAACTTTAAAGCAAAATCACACAGGCAGGCAATTGGAGCAGACCTACAAGGAAAATGAAGCAGAGAAATGGGGCCGCTCCTTGTAGAGCTTGCTTTTCTGACCTTTCTCATCGCTGCGACAAACTATCAACAAGAGCAACTTCAGGACGAGTCTACTGTGGCTCACAGCGTGAAGGTCCAGCTCATCATGGGGAAGACAGGGTGACAACTGGACACATTTCAGACACAGGACATAGAGAGATGAATGGTTGTGCTCAGCTCCCTTTCTCCTTTTCATTCAGTTCAGCATCTCAGCCCAAGACTTCTCAAGTAGTGCCACTCCCTGATGCCCAAGCATTTAAACATATGAGCCTCTGGGGCCATTCGCATTCAAACAACCACTTCGTTCCTTAGGTCCTAGCCTTTTCCAAGCAGGTTACTGCTGGATTTGTGTTACCTTTGTGCGCTCCATGGTGGTCACTACACACATGGGTTTCTTTGAGGTGCTCCAGGTCAGGGTTTGAAAAGACAGGCATAAGGGTGTATATTCCACTCCCCTGAGGGCATCAGATACCTGTTTTTGATCACATCCCTTCTCATGGAAAAGATTTAATAATTAGCTTGTTTTGTTTCAAGGTGTTGCTGAGGAATCCCAGAGCTAGCCCATGCAAAGGACACGTGTCTGCTAAGCCTATGTCAGCCCCTGAGAAGCTTATGTGCTTGTTTATTAACTATTTAATTTTTTATTCTAGTTAACTACTGGGAAATTGGATTTGTAGAGATATTTTTCTTTCAAATATAGAGATGAAGCAGGACTCATCCGTGGCAATGGTATAAGCAGAGCAAGAAACACGGAGAACTGAATGGGGCAGAGGTGGTGACACAGATGGTGGCTGGATTCTGCATCCTTCGACGGTCAGAGCCAGGGACCAGGTGTGGGTTTCTTGAGAAAACCACCAGCTGTTAGCATACTGTGATCTGCTGAGAGATCAGCAAAATTACCTTGCTTTCCCCGCCCTGAAATGAGAGAGCCGGAACATCCTATGGTTTAAACCTAGTCAGTAGAGAATTTAATTCGTTAATTAGAAATAGCTGGTCCTCCGATCTATCCCTGTAGCCAGGAATCTTTATTTTCCGATTTATCCTCCTTCCCTTCCTACAGTGGCTGAGTTTCATTCATATCATAATTTTAACACAAACGCGCCAGCTTTTTTTTTCTACTACATCCATTCACCAGGTGGACTGTCCCCTTCTTTTCAGGTTATCCCCCAAATAAAAGAGAGATACTGTTTTCAGGGTGAGAACTTCGTTATAGCTAGTGCTTGTGTAGTGTTTTCTCAACCACACAATGTGTATCGTAACCACTGTTCGATTCCAGGCGGTTTGGGTAAACACAGCACTGGGATCATACAGTGTCAAATGTGAACAAGGCACGGGACACAGGAGATCCGAGTTTATACTGGAGCAGTTCCTGGACCAGTTTTCAGCGGTTCCGACAGCTCCTTTGCAGCTTTTGGCCATTAAGGGCGCGAGTGGCCGCAGGGTTGAGCGCGCACACGCCCTAGAATCCGGCTCTGCTGCCTAGAATTTCACGTTATCCTTTAAACACAGAGAATGGCGCTGATGTTCGGGGTCTGGGTAGCTTCTGGCGATGACTCCTTTACTTGTCCCAGGAAACCTATACTAGCACAGCCACATTGCCACGCCTTCCCTCCTACCTATGGGTGAAGCACCCTCGCACTGACCAATGAGCTCCTTCTTTTCTGCAACGGGGCGGGACCTCGCGGCACCTCTGAGGCCCGCCCCTTACGTGACGTGCGTGCGTGGCGCGGATCGCTTTCTTCAGCGCGTGGCGCCCCCCGGAGGCGGCGGCCCCTCAATGCGACGGCTTGACTGCAACACCAGCCATGGAGCCGCAGGAAGAGGCGCGCACGCTCGGGGCGTCCGTGCCTCGGCCTGCTGGGGCCTCGGGGTCGCCGACGCGGGGCGAAGAGGAGCGGCCGGAGGGCAGCGCAGCGCCGGTGGCGGCTCCCGCGGGCGAAGAGGGCGACGGCGCGGGAGCCGACGGGCTGTGGGGACTGCCGGTGGAGCGCGCCGAGCGCAGGCCCGAGTGCAGCCGCTGCAGGTGAGCGTGGGCGGCCCGGGAGCTGCGGCGCCCTCTGCCGGCCAGGCGGACTCCGCGCGCCGGTCGCTGCAAGAAGTCTTTCACCCAGGGCCATGATGATTATTTTAACCTTTCTGCAAGACTTAGTTCTTTGTTTGTTTGTTTGTGTTTTCATGGCAGGGTTTCTCTTTGTAACACAGCCCTGGCTGTCCCGGAATTCGCTTTATAGACCAGGCTGGTCTCGAACTCAATTTAGATTTGCCTGCCTCTGCCTCCCGAGTGTATGGTTTAAAGCGTGCACCACTAAGCCCTGCAAGAGTTAGTTTTTTCCCCCCAAGAAATTTAAGAGTCTTTGATAGATGGAACTCTCGAGGCCTAATGACATTAATACTTAACGACGCTTAAGTGGGCTGGCCATCATGAAATGAATCGGAGGAGAATAATAAAGGGACTGCTTGGATTGAGAATTTTGAATTTATTTATCAGTGTTTACTGAAAACCAGGTTTGTTAGCTGAGTACTTGGGAAGTAAAGGCAGAAAGGTCAGAAATCCAAGGTCATTCTCAGCTACCTAGCAAGTTGTAGGATAGCCTGAACTATATGAGACACCTGAATTTTTTTTTTTTAAACTGAATTTCTGTGTGTCTGCCGCATGCTGGCTGTTCTGGGTACGAGGAATGTATTGAGGAAAAAAAAAATAAATCAGCTCTAGCAGAGAGTTTCTCCAATATAGCTGATTATTCTTTGGGGGCCACCTCAGGTGTGCTTCAGCTGCGTGACTTGTGTCTTCTGCTTATTTAATCGCAGAATTTAAGGAACATTGCTCCTTGCCGCTCGACTGATGTCCCTGGTTCCTGAAAGGTCTTCAGCTGTCACCCATCCCTGGTGTCCTTTTTAATCATTACATACTGGCCAGCCTTGTCTTATTTTAGTACCTGAGGCCTTCAGCTTAGAAGGGGGAAACTTTATTTGGGTTCAGGGTCTCAGAGTTTGCAGCCCATAGCTTGGATGGTCGTGTTGGGCCTGCGGGCCTGCATAGGTCATTGTGCACAGAATACAGGAGGCCTATAGAAAGGGATCGGATGCCCCATGTCCCACTGAAGGCATTTACCAGATGACCTAACTTCCTTCCAGTCATCCCCACCTCCTCAGTAATGCCATAAGTTGACATATGGACAGTTGGAAGGGGTGTTTGGCAACATATTTCAGATTCTAACTAAAGCTCGCCTCTACTTCCCTAGCGTATAATCACTCTGCAGTTCGCCATTGGGTCATATAGTTGCCCTGAAATGGCTTTCAGTATAACACCCGTAACCTTCGCGAGCTAAAACCCAGTGGATCGTTGCTGTATTACACAGTAGATGAGCTGGCAGCTTTCTGGACACACTCTTTCACACACACTTTCTTTGGTTCCCCTTGGATTTAGATGACTTCTTTGGCCCAGTCTCCTTGGCCTATCCTTCTCAAAGTCTAAATGTTGGGCCTCTCTGCTGGGAGCATGGAGGTCCTTCAGCCCACAACCAGGAGTGTGAAGCATACAGGATTGTCTTCTCAATGAAAAAAATGTAAAAACTGTTCTTCCATCCAGAAGGCTGGGAATTGGAGGTGATTAATAGCATGGTGATTTCTGTTATCTGTTGAGTCAGGCCAGATCAAACTCCTACAACCAGGGCCAGAGGTGGCTAGCAATCTAAATGACCCTTACAGCCATGGGCTCCCCAAGGTCCCACAATCAGGACCAGAGATATCTAATAGTTTAAGAAACCCTTTCTAGTATCTGTATAGCCAGAGGCTCCACCAAGAGCCCACAGTCAGGAACAGATGTGGTTAATATCCCAAGTGACCTCTGCTCTTTGTATGACCAAGACCTGGCCAGCTGCTTCCGTAGGCCCTTAAGCTAGTCTAGGTAACCTATCTCTAGAACCCATCTTCTTGAAAGAAATGTCGCGATCCTGAATCAAATTTTGATGTAATAACGCTTCTTCATACACCAGAGACTGTATTGCGCCAGGAAACCTTTCCCCAAATTATACTGTGTTTAAACTTGGCTTTAGACTCCCCAAAGTCTTGATCCAGGTTGCCGAAGTTGATCTACACAAAGTTTTCATCTTCGCCTCCTTGCAGTTTGCTTTCCTGCCTGCCTGATACCTGCAGAGATCCCTCACTTCTCCAGAGTACTGATTCTAAGTCCTCTTCTCCTTCAAGCTCTTCCCGCTTCCCACTGGTGATTTACCCAATTTCCTAGGAGAGTACCATGTTTTCTCCACCCTGGACCTTTCTGAGCTCTAGACCTACACATTTGCTTATTACTTTCTGAGTGCTCTGCTAATCACTAACAATGAACCCAGGTTCATTTTCTTACTAGATACAGATAATAAACCAGCAAGCAAATGAGCTGCAGACTAGGGGGCAGGCAATGTTGGAAAGGAATCGAGATGATGGGAAATAGTTGAAATGGCGTTAGGAAAGCTCTCGTGGGTGAGGTGACAAAGTAGGATGCCTTACTACTTGAGCACTTGGGATATTTTATGTTGCATGTTTTGACTTTTTGCCAGAGGTTGGCTAGTACAAACTCAGAGAATGGATCTCGATTGTAGGATATCCTTTTTCTAGATGCACTTACCATTATGTGGCCTGCAGTTTTCCAGCTTTACAGTAACAGAAAAGCAATATGCATTCAGTAGGAACTGGATTTCAGACTTCGTATTTTATCTTTTCTTGGATTAGCAGTATGGCTCAGCGCTCTCTTGAGAAGCTGGTAAGCAGCTGTGAGCCGCAGTTCTGTTAATCCTACTGTCCCCACTAGCTAAATTATTTCACCTAAGTTATGTGTATCAGATACATTTTAACTTAATAATCTTTTCACTTCTCTCCCATCCCCGCCTTTTCAGCATGATATTATGTAGTCCAGCTCGTTTCCAACATTCTGTAGCCTAGAGTGCCCTTCCACTGATCCATCTGTCTCTCGCTCCACTTGTGGGTTGCTGGGGATTTTACCAAGGGCTTTAGGAATGCACCATCTGAGATACATTTTCAGCCCTTTTTGTAAATATAAAATCAAACGGATTCGTGACAACAATGTTTAGGGTAAAAATTTAGGTATTCCAAAAATTTAAATTTTTGTACATATAAAAATCATATTTCTGCCGGGTGGTGGTGGTGCACGCCTTTAATCCCAGCACTCGGGAGGCAGAGACAGGCGGATCTCTGTGAGTTCTAGGCCAGCCTGGTCTACAAGAGCTAGTTCCAGGATAGGAACCAAAAGCTACGGAGAAACCCTGTCTCGAAATAAAAAAAAAAAAATCATATTTCCAAGGAAATTCATTAATTTGCTTTTTCCTGTTTGCATAGAAAATGTGTTTACTCCAGAAGGTGGTTTGTTCATAATACATGAGCAAAGCAGATTTGTAAATTGTTATGTAAGCTAATCATATGTTCAAAGTTGAGCAAAGATCATACATGCCAAGAGACATTTTCCCTCTTAATCTTAATTAAATCTTTTGAGAGTGACCAGTTAAAAATGAAGCACATTAGCGCTTGCTAAATATTTGATTTACTTTCCCTTAGAAAAATAAGAATTACAGTATTATACTCAGACATTTTCTTCAAAGAACATCGAACCACATTAATCCCTATGTTAATTTGTCCCAAATTAATAATTTATAGTATTAGGTCCAAATCAGGAGCAGAAGGAGAGAGAGCACAAGCAAGGAACTCAGGACCGCGAGGGGTGCACCCACACACTGAGACAATGGGGATGTTCTATCGGGAACTCACCAAGGCCAGCTGGCCCGGGTCTGAAAAAGCATGGGATAAAACCGGACTTGCTGAACATAGCGGACAATGAGGACTACTGAGAACTCAAGAACAATGGCAATGGTTTTTTTTTTGTTTTTGTTTTTGTTTTTGTTTTTGTTTTTGTTTTTGTTTTTTCAAGACAGGGTTTCTCTGTGGTTTTGGAGCCTGTCCTGGAACTAGCTCTTGTAGACCAGGCTGGTCTCGAACTCACAGAGATCCGCCTGCCTCTGCCTCCCGAGTGCTGGGATTAAAGGCGTGCACCACCACCACCCGGCAGAAATATGCTGGGATTAATGGCAATGGGTTTTTGATCCTACTGCACGTACTGGCTTTGTGGGAGCCTAGGCAGTTTGGATGCTCACCTTACTAGACCTGGATGGAGGTGGGTGGTCCTTGGACTTCCCACAGGTCAGGGAACCCTGATTGCTCTTTGGACTTGATCGGGGGAGGGGGAGGGAAAAGGGAGGCAGTGGTGGGGAGGAGGCAGAAATCTTTAATAAATAAATAAATTAAAAAAATTTATAGTATTAGTAGTGCTTATGGAGTTAAGGACTATGTAATCAAGTAATATTTTAGTTTAAAATCTGGTATTATTTAAAGGAGCTCTTAAGTTATGAAGTAATTGAGAAGAAAATGTGTATGTGTGTACATATGCACACCCTGTCAGGCACGAGTATGGAGGAATGAGGACAACTTTGTTTCTCCATTGTTTCTCTCTTCCCATCTTTAAGTGTATTCCTGGAATCAAACTCGGGTCTGTAGGCTTTTGCAAGAAGAGTGTTTACCTGCTGAGCCCTCAATGACCCCAAAGTTCTTTTTGTACATTTTTATCTAGTAAGATAGCTTTGCGATTTGAATAGTGTTTTCCCTCTCTTGGTTTTAAGCTTCTTCCCCCAACCCCTCTGTGTGTGTACGTGCACATCTGTGGAGAATAGTTGGTCGTCACTGTGGTCCTATGCCAGGTTAGGGGCTCCTGAGCTGACAATGTAGGCTCAGAGGACTTGAACTCAGGTCTTCCTTCTGTGTGGCAAGTGCTTTACCCATCGACCTATGTCTCCCACCTCTGTGTTTTTGTCTTTAGACGCTGTCAGTGTTAGATGCTTAGTTCTGGCTTTCCTGGTTCTGTTGCTGCTGCACTGGTTGTAGAAACAAGGTGTTTCTTTGCCTTTTCTAATACATTGATTGTTTTCCATTCCTTTGGTTATGGCCATTTTTAATTATTTG